AAAAAAAGACGAGGAAGCATGCTTGAGAAAGAATTATGAGAGAGGTAATATTGTGTCTGTGAGGCTCAGGAGATAAAAGGAACATGGAGGATCCCTTTGCTTTTGAGGTACTTCAGGGCCTTTAGATGATAAGCATATGGTACCTAAACTTTGACTTTTTAATTGCTTTGAGTCGAGACTGAGGCTTAAAAATGTGCCTGGAGGTTTAAAATGAGATCAGCTATCACAGTCCAGCAGATTCGCACAGCATCAGTGCAGTATATAATCAATAGTAATGAATCAGCTTCTGTAATGTAATCAATAAGCACTTAACAAATGATTGCACAGTCTATTGTGTATTTACATACTGTCTGTTCACCTGGAATTCTGTGATATTATTAATATTAACAGTATGATATATGAACTGGCAATGCTATACATGTTTAGGTCAATTATTATGATATATTATTGTTAAAATAGGTATCTTTCAACAACTTGACAATTTAAAGGAACATTTCACCCAAAAGTTTGTCATTTACTTACCTTCATGTTGTTCCAAACATGTATGAAATTCTTTCTTCTGTGAAAAAGTGTTAAAATAAAATCTAATGAATATACAGGAATTTCAATACAGTTTTATAGTAAAGTCATACTGTCCTGGGTGTGTTTGTTTTGTTGTTGATTAATAATAAATAAATAAATAAATAAAGGAAAAGAGCATTTAATGTCATTGTAAGTATAAAACTGAGCCTAAAATTATGTCTGATATGCTTTGTTTTGATGTATGGGCTAGAAAGTTATTAATATGCATCTCATGAAGCTTTTTCTTCAACGTGCCATTTGGTCAAAGAGATTTCTGCCGCAGAAATTTTTAGTGTCTGTGTTGTGTTTTTGTTGATGACACTATGGGACTAAATGTTTTTAAGAGGAACTGTGATAAGTGGTATTGCTATTTCTAACTATTCGTATGTGTGTTCGAAAAAGGGCTCTGCTATATCCTGTTCAAAATCCTATTTTGGCTTTGAAAGGACAGGACAGAGATTTTGAGAGAGACAAAGTGAGGGAAAAAGTCAAGTTCATGTTCATGGCACTGCGTTTGTGCGGATGCTTGCTTTGTTTGTGCGTTGTGCTGAGAGGCATTAGATGAGGCTACGTGCCCAAAGGGTGTTCAGTCTGTATTAGTATCAGAGACAGTGTGAGTTGAGATCAGGACAGGAGGGGTGAGGACGGGGTTGGGTGAGTATGGAAGAGCAAAGCTAGAGGAAGTTAAACAATACTGCGGCTGACACATCTGTCCCCAGAATCAAACTGGAATTGAAGTAGCCCAGCTTTTAGGTGACAATCAAATATGCCTGCTTAGCTTCCTATAGGTTTATAATTGTTACATATCTACAACATGATATGGTTTGTTTTAAGGTGCCTTAATAAATTTCAGACATTTTGCTGACTTCTGCCTTTTTTCTAACTTCAACCACATGTCCTCTCTCAAACAAAAAAATCTAAGCAAATCTGAACATGCATAATGATCCACTTGAAAAGAGGATTTTGGATTTGCTGTTTTCTGATGGACAAAAAAAGGTGGTCCACCACCTGGTTTTTTTATTTTTATTTTTTTTGAGTGCAGTGTAGAGACAGGTGTCAGAGACAGATTTGATCCAGATTTGATGACTGTAAGGTGGTGGGGACATTTTATACACTCTTAAAAATATAGGTGCTTAAAATGTTCTTCACAGCGATGCCATAGAAGAACCATTTTTGGTTCCACAAAGAACCATTCAGTCAAAGGTTCTTTAAAGAACCATCTCTTTCTTACCTTTTTATAATCTGAAGAACCTTCTTTCGCCACAAAGAACCTTTTGTGAAACAGAAAGGTTCTTCAGATGTTAACGGTTCTTTATGGAACCATTTAGATAAAAATGTTCTTCTATGGCATTGTGAAGCACCTTTATTTTTAAGAGTGTATGTGATATTTCCAAAAAAAAAATCTACCTATAGCAGCTGTAAAATCTATTTGACAGAAATGAAAGAGATAGTTCACCCAAAAATGAAAATTCTCTCATTTACACACACTGATATTGTTCCAAACCTGTATGGCCTTTTTTTTCTGCTGAACACAAAAGGAGTTATTTTGAAAATTCTGTTTCAACTGTATTAACCCATACAATACAAGTTGATGGGGTTCAAAACAACAGTGTAGGGGGGGAAAGCAGAGCAAAACATTTTGATGTCAGGTTTAGAAAATCAAGGTATGGTGGGGATCATTTCATCATAAAAGCTCCATTTTACTCACCCATGTGGATAATAGTCGATGGCAGCAGCTACATTTTCCAAGAGCAGAGGACAACTCTGCTATCGACCATGGCGTAATTTGTCCGAACCTTAGTTCGCACCACTGATTCTAATCACATTTTTTCTCTTAACCTCTTCGGAGTTCCCGACAGCAGCTGTTTTTGTGGCATAAATGGGCTTCCCCCTGGTGTGAGTCTGGCCCTAATGATGCCGCTCTTCTGCTTGCGCGAGTCTGGGTGTGTGCTGGGCAGCTGGAATAGCATTCGTGACAGGTTACTGCCACCTCAGCTGTATTAACGGACCTGCTCGGATTTAGAGGAGCAAGGAGAAAATAAATTAGGTTAGAAGAGAATCGTTTATTACCAATACACAGATGTCTATGCTCTGAAGATTATCTGCAGCTAAAGTAGAGCAGAGAGTACTGCAGTGAAATGAATGCAACACCTCAGAACACCCCTGTGGAGAAGAAATGAAGCCACAGTGTGTCCTACATCAAGTATGCTCCACTTGCTATGCAGATGTCAATTTCAGCATAGTCAGATGCATTATATTTCTCTATTTCTATTCCATAGCTCCTCCCTTCCATCCTCATACTGATCTTGAAAAAAGCAGATTCTCCCAAAGGAACTCTAAATCCCACTACTAATGATCAAAAAGAGAGTGGCCCATATTGGGATGTGGAGTCTCAGATATGCTGTATACCTATTTAAAAAATGGTGTGTTCTTGGGGGCAGATGCACATAAAATTAAAATGAAACACTAATGAATCACTACCCTTAGGAAAAAAACTCACACATTCAATGGTTGTTGCCCTGGTTGTCTACAGTATTTCTACAGTATTTCTCTGAAATATAATGCATATAATGTAGGTTTCATTTGCATACAGAAATATTTTGTGGAGAGCTGTCAGAAAAAGCAAAAAATGCAGGGAAAATAATAGAAGGAACAGATACAGGTACAGTGAATATGGTGAGATGAGGGAATATGGAAAGGAATGAATTCGGGGCGTTAATGATGACTCAGCAGGTGGGAAACACACTGTAATTACTTACACTGCATGAGAGAGCCACCTGGATTTATGCACACACACATACAGACTCACACAAACATATTCCGTCCTTATAAGGAGAACAGTCTTTAAAACCCACACAGAACCTACAAATATATGAAATAGGATGATGAGAGAGAAATACAATAAAGATGTCTTTATAGACCTCTCTGAGGTTTAGGTAAGACATTGGGTCACATTCACTAATAATAACTGCATACAGCTGTGCCTTTTTTCCAACAAAGGTTCTCATGCAAAATGTCTAAATGCATATGCAGTTTTTGTCAATGTCACTGAATCCAGATTATTCTAAATAAGAGGAGAATGTGCATGCAGTTAGTAATTAGCATAATACACCCTGCCAAATCCAGGATGGGATTTGGAGTTTGCAGTTCAAACTTACATGTGTGAGAAAGTTTGCATGCAGGTTTTACACACTTTAGTGAATGAGACCTAATATCTGCAATGTAAAATCCCTTGTGCACCAAATCATGTCATTTATCTACAAGGCTTTTTTTACAACTGATTTTGGTTGTGGTGTGACCAGGCATGTAAGAGGTTGTGCACTGTTTCGTGCAAATGGAAAAATTGTGAGTGTCCTCTTGTGTTTTAGATTTAGACCTTGAAATTTTAGATAACTAAGGCCTTATTCTTCAAGCAATTTTCAGCACCTATGGAGCACCTGGTCACTGAACCTTTACAAACAACCTCAGAGGGGGGATTATGAGACTATGAACAACAATTGCATGCAGTTAGTAATTAGCATAATACACCCTGCCAAATCCAGGATGGGATTTGGAGTTTGCAGTTCAAACTTACATGTGTGAGAAAGTTTGCATGCAGGTTTTACACACTTTAGTGAATGAGACCTAATATCTGCAATGTAAAATCCCTTGTGCACCAAATCATGTCATTTATCTACAAGGCTTTTTTTACAACTGATTTTGGTTGTGGTGTGACCAGGCATGTAAGAGGTTGTGCACTGTTTCGTGCAAATGGAAAAATTGTGAGTGTCCTCTTGTGTTTTAGATTTAGACCTTGAAATTTTAGATAACTAAGGCCTTATTCTTCAAGCAATTTTCAGCACCTATGGAGCACCTGGTCACTGAACCTTTACAAACAACCTCAGAGGGGGGATTATGAGACTATGAACAACAATTGCTGAATGAGTGATGAGGCTGATGTTACAGAAGGGGCTCATAGACTCTGCAGTAATAGCAAACACTCTAGTACCGACAGTGACAGAGTTGACCGATTCCTGCAAGCTTACAGCTTCACTGCTTCTGGACAGCTTGATGAATTTATAATAGGATTGATTCACCCAGAGAGAGATTGGGAGATTTTCACTTGACTTTATCGAGAGCCATTTGGGCAGGGGATGAGGAAAAAAGATATTGAAAAATCAAAGGCAGAAATACATTGTCAATATAGTCACATAGTCAAAGGACATGTGTGGAGAGGATGTACAGGGAAAAAATTCTCCATTAGCAGAGAAAAGCGAACACACAGTGGAATACTAGAAGCTTTTTCATGTTCCACCCATGAGGTGATTGAAAGAGAAAGGATGACAAGTTGCTGGAGGAGGGCAGAGGTTAATTGGATATCTGTGTCAATAGAGCGTATAGAGAAATGAGGAAGAGAAGGAGAGGGTAGGTGCATGAGTACACACTAGGTAATTAAGTGAGACAGATGTCACATAAAAAACAACCCCCTGACCATCATAACCATTTTGACTGCAAATTTGACTTAAAACACAATAAGGCAAATATGCATAACAAAAGGAGCTGAAAGAATGGTAGTGAAAAGAAAAGGGTGACTGGTCTGCAGTAAAATTACAGACCAGAACTAGTTCTGTCTCTGTCTTTGTGGTTCCTTAAGCAGCAGCATTTGTGTTTTGTGTTAAGTGAAGACAATTCTTTAAATATATTGGTGCATTCATAATATTTGTCTAATTCAGTGTACAACACAAACCAAAGCATTTGAAGATCCCTATGTGCAGTTTGTGCACATCACACTGAGCATTAGTAACGTGTCATTTTATTTGCAGGACAAAAGATTCTGCATCACAAAAGTAATGTGTTGGAGACAGTAGTGCTCATCAACCCTTCAGATGAAGCTGTTAGCACTGAGGTAAGCACTCTCTTTCTATATTTCAATAAATATATTTAAATATTTTTCAACATATTTTAAAACTATAGTTATCTGGTTAATACAGAAACAAATATGTGGGGATAAGAATAAATGCATAGCAGCTAGTATCCTATAGGACAAAAACAACATTATAGTGTTGGCAACAGTATCAACAGAAAACTGTTGACTCATCTAATACTACAAAAACGATTACATATATTTTTTACACTACACAGATAAATCCTGTTAAATATTTAAATTCACTAATATGCTAGTACATCAGAGAGTTATGTATGTACTGGGTATGTCACAGTTGCAGACAAACTCACAACGCACAACACGCTAACTGCTGACTGTGACTGCAGTTTGACTCTGCATTAATAATATGATAGAGCACTGCAGGTCTGACCCTGGCAGACCGCCCAGAACAGTCAATGGCAACAAACTGGAAAATGCTGGCCCTGATAGAGAACAAGAAAGAGAGAGGAAAAGAGACAAAAAGCCAAAGTAATACAATTCAGTAATACTAAAGCTTATAGAAGAGCTTATAGAAACAGATGTACTTCTGTTAGCTGCCTGGGTAATTCAGAAATTGCATGTAAATAATTTAGAATAACCTTCACGTGCTGTGTTGGTTTTGTTCCAACAAATGCAAGCCATGATTAATTAAAGTCAAGTCAATGTTTAATGAAGATTATAATATTTTATAAACGTTATGTCTACACTCAGGTACGTCTGATGGTCTCAGACACAACCCACCATAAGCTGCTTGTCCTGGCAGGACAGTGTTTTGAAAATACAGGCGAGCTGATTCTCCAGTCAGGCTCCTTTTCTCTCTTCAATTTCATTGACATTTTTACAGATCAAGAGGTGAGTGATTGTTACCTTTTGCTTCGGTTTGCTATATTTACCAGTGCTTTTTAAAAAAGAGAGATTCTCAAACAGCCAACAAATGCTAAAACTCAGCATGCACAGTAAGGTTCTACATGGTAATCCAAATTCAAGTAAACTTGTTTAGTGAAATGTTCCCATTCATTTGACTCACAGATTGGAGAGCTTCTAAGCACCATACATCCAGCCAACAAAGCCAGTTTGACTCTTTTCTGTCCGGAGCATGGTGATTGGAAAAATTCAAACCTAGACAAACACAACTTGCAGGACTTCATCCATATGAAGCTTAACTCCCCAACCATCCTTCCAGAAATGGAAGGTCTTTCTGAATTCACAGAGTACCTGTCAGAATCTGTAGAAATCCCATCTCCTTTTGACATGCTTGAGCCTCCAAATTCAGGAGGGTTCCTAAAATTATCCAAACCATGCTGTTATATTTTCCCTGGTGGACGGGGTGATTCAGCACTGTTTGCGGTTAATGGTTTCAACATGCTGATTAATGGTGGATCTGATAGAAAGTCATGTTTTTGGAAGCTGGTACGACATCTGGACAGAGTGGATTCTGTTCTCCTCACACACATTGGAGATGACAACCTTCCTGGTATCAATAGCATGCTGCGGCGCAAAATAGCTGAACTTGAGGAGGAGCAGTCGCAGGGATCCACAGCTAACAGTGACTGGACAAAGAATATGATTTCACCTGATATTGGAGTTATGTTTGTCAACATGCCTCAGAACCTCGAAAACCTTGAGACCAACTACAGGATTAGGAAAAATGCTGAGGAGGCATGTCTCACGCTGGAGTACCTAAACAAGCTGTCTTTAAAGCCTGAACCTCTGCATAGAAATATTGGGAATACAGTAGAACCAATTATACTTTTCCAGAAAATGGGGGTCGGAAAGCTTGAAATGTATGTTCTTAACCCAGCAGAGAATAGCAAGGAGTTGCAGTACTTCCTGAAAGAATGGACTGGTAGTGATAAAGACAAATCCCCCATCTTGTTACCAAATGAAAAAGAATCAGAGCTCCCAATCTCATATTTGTCTTCCATCTCATCACTGATTGTGTGGCATCCTGCTAACCCATCAGAAAAAATCATCCGTGTTCTCTTTCCAGGCAATTCCACTCAGAATAATATTCTCGAAGGTCTAGAGAAACTTAAACACTTAGACTTCCTCAAACATCCTGTGATCACACAAAAGGAGCTTAATTCAAATTTCACACCAACACTGAAACAAGCAAAGATGAAACATAAGACAGATAGTAAAGAGAGCCTAAAGTCCACATCAAAGCCATCCCCAAGCAAAAATCTCCACAAAGAGTCCAAAGAAGAATCCCCTGAAAAACGAAAAACCCTCAGTAAAACTGACTCTGTGGAAACCCCGGAGCCGACACAAAAAATAGAGAAGAAAGAAAAAACACTTGTGAAAAAAGTGAAAACAGGAGACAAGGACAGTAAAAGCAAGATTGAGCAAACACCCAAAATCGACACTCCAGAGAAAAAGAAAGTTGACCTTAAACCAAAAACAATAAAGAAAGAAACAAAGAAATCCGTGGAAAAAAGTGAGACTGATAAAAAGGCTGAAAAACCCACACCCAAGAAAGAAGAAAAGGCCAAAAAAGAAGAGAAGGTGAAGAAAGAGGAGATGAAAAAGGAAATTAAAAGAAGAGATATTAAGAAAGATTCCCTATTAAAGGAAAGCAGAAAGGACGAAAAGAAAGAAACTCAGAAAGATGAAAAAGAACCTAAAAAAGATTTGAGGAAAGTCGGTGGCTTGAAAAAGAATGCCCCTAGCACTCCTGAGGTGAAAAAACCTGCACCTAAACCAAAGGTTGCAGCACGAGGCAAGGGCACTGGTAGTCCTGCAAAATCCAAAGAGAAGGCTAAGTCCAAGGCCACCAAAAAAGATGCTGGTGAATCAGTGGAAGCACCTTCCATCTCAAGTGCTACTGCTGAAGAACCTGCTGTTGAAGCCAGTGTAACAGATGTTCTTGAGGCAGAGAGGTCACTGATGTCTTCTCCAGAAGACCTCACTAAATACTTTGAGGCTCTGAAAGCAGAGGAGATTGCTGAAGTTGATGAAATCCTATTACAGACCAAAATAGACGAGTCTGATCAAGGAAGGTTGATTAAGCATGAAGAAATAACTCCTTGCAAAGAGTCTCCAGAAGCAGCAGAATCCATGGATGAAGGAATAGCAACCACAGAAGCTGAGGAGGGCTGTAATGGTACTCCAGGGGATCTAGAACCCAATCAAAAAAGCAATGGTACCAGCGAAAAATTTGAAGATGAAGGAACAGGTTTGGAAGAGTCATCTGAGATAGGAGACTATGAAGAAAAGGGAGATACAGAGGAAGTGGATGAGCAAGACAGAGCAATATCTAAGTTAAAAGATGATGGACAGCAAGAAGAGCAGGAAACCGAGGAAGGGTCAGATTACGGTGCAGAAAAACCACAATATAGACATGACAAAGAAACTGAGTTGCAGAGTTTTGATGTAACCACACCACCAAAGATCTCTGCACCGGCATCTCCTGCTGTTTCTATTCATGATGAAACACTACCAGCAGGTTTAGAAAGTGAGGTTGCCTCTGATGATGAAAATCGAGATGAGCCTCCAGAAGAATACACAACATCTGGACACACTCAGTCTACAATTGAGATCTCAAGTGTTCCAACACCTATGGATGAAATGTCTACTCCAAGAGATGTAATGAGTGATGAGACAACCAATGATGAAAGTGATTCTCCTTCCCAAGATTTTGTCAGGTATGCAATTGTCTGATTCATAATTCATATATATATATATATATATATATATATATTATGCCTGCCATAAAATGACTTTGCATATCATACTGATAGGTCACACTGATTCCAACCCATGATACAGAAGTTATGAGGGAGTGGTACCAGGAAACCCATGTGAAGCAGCAAGACTTGAACATCATGGTTTTGGCGAGCAGCAGCTCTGTGGTTATGCAAGATGAGTCTTTCCCTGCATGTAAGATTGAGCTGTGATTGTCATGATCCAGATATGGTAGAGGTTGGATGTTAGACAGCAAATAAATGAAAAACTTAGTACACACATTCACAAAAGCAAATATTTTGGATCACATTCCATATTCTCAATAGAGGAACCAGTAAAAATGTTTCTCAGTAGAATTATCTCTCTATCTTTTGAGGTCTCAGGTTGTGAAAATGCTTGGTTTGTCACTGTTGACCACACAAAGAACAGTTTTTGGTGTGAATCAGACCTCCTTAAACACACAAACAACCAGCAGAAGCTAAGCTAAACTAAACAACTGACTAAATACATACAGTAGTCGGTGGATGAACACTGTACTGAGCAGCTCCAATAAAATTGACAACAAACTACAAATTTACTCATTTACGCTCAGATGATGAATGGATCACTGAAAAAGAACTCATTAAATGGTATTGTTTACACCAAAGGTTGAGGGATTGTTTTAATGCCTTAGAAAGTTAAACTGAATGTACAACAAACATAATGCACTTAATATGAGGACAATTAAATGGTATGCATGATCCACTGTGACATAAATATATCATAGGATGCAAAAGCTACATTAAACTTCATATTCCAGCCACACTGAGTTGCATAAAATATGAATGTGAAGCTTGCTACCTTTGCGAATAAATGCAAAATAGAACAATGATCTAACCAACTTAAAATAACTCTCTGAGAAAAAGAAATGCCTGAGAAAACGTGAAATACCATAAGTTGTATGTAAAAAATGTTGTAGTAAAAGAACAACAACAAAAACAGCTCATACCTTTTCTTCCTGGACAAGCAAATAATTAATTAATTATATTGTCACAGCCCATCTTTAGCTTGAAATTACACAAATTTCACACCAGCCTTTTTTTAAATAGGGTAAAATATTAAATGTTTGAACTCCAAAAATTGTTATTCATCAGTTTGTACTAGTTCTTATTTGCATAATTTATTTATGTTAATGTTTTTATCTGAGCAATACAGTCGTCATATGTATTTGCTTTATTTAATGCTTAAATTATTTATAACTATAAAGTTAGCTTTTTGGGCATTTCCTATGAAGTTAATCATGAAAAGTGATCTTTTGTGTCAAAGTTCAACATTATTGTTTTTCTTTGATAACTATTGTTTTCTTCTCTTACTCCAAATGGGTTTGATTATCCTTTTAACTGAACATTTCACTCAATGTTGAGAGCTCTTCTGTATGCACTGTTCATCCAAATCTTATCCATCTATGATTTTTATTTTCTTAGCTTGTTAATGTTGCCAAGAAGAGCCATCAAGATTGTGGTACATTGAAAGTTGAGAAACTGAAAACTTTCCTTTCCTTAGGAATCTTTTATAAAATTGCACTGTACTATAATTATAAATAGCTTAGTGACGGAGTGAGTGGTCGGATGATATGTGCATGTGTAATGTATTATCCTTGACATTTCTCTGCTTTCTTTCACTAAGAGGGGAAACTCACTCTTTACTGCCAACAAATCACTGCAAGGATATGACAAATAATTCATGATTCTAAAAATCATGAACTTGGATCAGGTTTACTGTATCTTAATGTCGCTTTTTATCAATAACCATACAGCCATGAAAATTTTACCATCTTATTGAAGGTTGTCAAAGAGATTTGAATTATAATCATTAATTCCTATGATGCTACCACAGTATACAGATTTGACAGTTTACCAGAATCTACATGACTATACAGGATTATGCTATAGGTTGTTAAAAATATTTCAAAGCCATAACTGCTTGAAATATTTATACAACACGTCAACAAATTATACTACTGGGGAACTTAGTGCCTTTGTGGCACAACCCTTTTCAACAGCTCAGTATAACAGTAAACTTGATACGGCATTTAACTCAGAACTGGACACTTCTTAATTCCATACTAACAGCAGCAATTGTTAACAGATTCTTCTAGCCACGTGCTTCAGCAAAGTGCACTGTTGTGCACTGTCGCGAGACGTCTACATTACTAAATACAACGCACACACCCAGTCTATCACTCCCCTCTTTCCTCTGACCCACAGTAACACTTCACTTTCTCTCAAAACTTCACAATCCCTCTGGTTCTCTTCGCTCACCTTCGGGTGCTAGTAAGAATATGTCTGCAGTTGTGTATGAAATATATATATCTTGTGAACATGCATCTTTGCTCTTTTCATTCCTAATCCCATATCTAGAGGATAGTCTCCAGTGAAAGTATTACCTTGTGCTTTTTCTGATGTTTGTGTGCGATAACTCTTCCCAACTATGGAGTGTTTTATGTAAAGGGAACTACACTTAAAAAGAGGGTAAATTTGTCCACAATAAATAATTTTGTGGAAAATACCCTGTGTTCTTTTTTGTAGAGTATGCTAGTTCACACAGTCCACAAAATGTGGTTGTGTTGTGTGTGTGTGTGTGTGTGTGTGTGTGTGTGTGTGTGTGGATTTGTGTGCTTGTGGTTGCTCACAGGCATTTCTGAGAGTTTAACTGGCTACAAAACAGGCCTGAACCTTAGGGATGATATGTCTGATTCTGGTTAGACGTCTGGCTCTGACCAAATTTAGCCAAAATAAACAAGATTTAGGCAAGTAATTTGTGCATTCAAACTTTTGACCTCAAAACAAAAAGAGTAAAACATTGAGCATAACTTAACTTTAGCTTTTAATTTAAATAAAAGGATAGCAATATTACATGCTTCTATACAACAACAAAAAAACACTAAAAATGTACTCTTGAAAATAAGATGCATTGCTGTTATAGTAAATCAAGACTGGTTTGCATTAACATCTATTTGATTGAGGGAACACAGACTGGTCACTGGCCTGGCAATCTACCATGCCATCACTGCCCTTATGCCACGGAGGACATTAACTAATAATGACTTGGGCACTGCAGGCATTTTTCAAACCCAGACAGAACCATAGCGGTAAATCAAAATGGAAATGTCTAGCGGCAAAAGTACCAGAGAAATAACATTGGCTGAAGTTCAATGTGAGAAGTCTGGGTCACAGCATGCTATTACTTTTATGTATCTGAGCATGATGTCAGCAGATCAATGCAGGTCAGCTGGGACATGGAACCTAAAGTGACTTTAGAACAACTGTGTGCTTTAATGTTAAAGGAATAAAGGGAGTATAAATTAAATATCGATCTATCTATCTATCCATCTATCTATCTATCTATCTATCATATAAATCATGTAGCAAACAATCTCGCCAATAAAAACTGTCACTTATAACAAAATTACTTTGAAAACACTGAATATGATAACAGCAGGATAACAACAGATCTTTAAGGTTCTTGGATTTTTTTTTTTCAAGCAATGGAGTAAGTGTAAATCACACATTTTCTATTTCAGTATCATTTAAATGTAAACATAAGAGATACAGGGAAGTGGAAATATGAATTCTGTAGTTTACTGTGCATATTTTGTTTTTATATTCAAAATGTAAAAATGAGAAAAATAGGCTTTTATTAAAGTTCTGGTTGACTGAGTGACAAAAGATTTAATTTTAAAGGAATTGTCACTGAATGCAAGGCAAAGAAAAAATATTCACAATTTAATTATAGACTTTTCAAAATGTGAAATACTGTAGGTATTGAGAAATGCACACAGCCAATGTAAAAACTATAATATTAGCAGTTAAGAATGTATAATTGCTAAACAACATTATATTCACTGGGTAATGCTAAAGAAAGAACTACATTTAAACCTGTAATTTGGTCACACACTATGCTTTAGTTTTTTTTTTTTTTTTTTTTAAAGAGTCACAAGAATGAACAAGAAATACACTGGTAGAGCTGCAAAGCACTTTGTTTCGAATGGCATTATAATTTCTCTAATATAAGAAAATTGGATCTCATCAATAATCCAGTGCACTTGAGAGTCAGCCTCCAATTGGGCAGAAGACGGTCTCAGCTGAATGGGGTGAGGTGCTGTTGCTAAGGAAACGCTCAGCAGAGTCCCACCAGGACGACGCAAGGACTCTAAATATAACATAATCAGTGTTCTATTACTGTCTAGGTAGAGCTGCAAAGCTCTTTGTTTCGAATGGCATTATAATTTCTCTAATATAAGTGAACACAAGGCAGGAAAAATAAACGATGTCCTGAATTTTTGTTATTAGCCATGTTATTCTCATAGCATCTTCTTAACACCTCCATCTTGGATCTCATCAATAATCCAGTGCACTTGAGAGTCAGCCTCCAATTGGGCAGAAGACGGTCTCAGCTGAATGGGGTGAGGTGCTGTTGCTAAGGAAACGCTCAGCAGAGTCCCACCAGGACGACGCAAGGACTCTAAATATAACATAATCAGTGTTCTATTACTGTCTATCTTTAACATCTTACATATATCACACATTTTATATACAAGAACATAGTACAGGCTTCTATAGTTTTATAAACCAAAGTACTAACTAACCCCTAAATAAAAAATATATTGCATTTTTAGTACTCTTTGAGTCACTTTCCAATAAAGGACGTCTCTGAATTTTCTCCAAAGGGAGGTTTGTTAGATTTAACTCACATCTGAGGGCAAATCTGTCCCTAAAGTATAGCTACGCATTAACATGTTTACTTGCAGATCTTTCCCTCCATCTTAAAAAAAATCCCCATTGTGTTTGCATTGTCAGCACTTCTTGTAATTGATCACACAGTTATGTGAACTGCGGGCAATCAAATTTCAATTTCCTTCTCACATCCAATCAGCTCATAAGTCTTTTGAAACATCCCCCTATAAAATAACTATCTAAAATGTATGGTCATGTCATGCTGTCAGCTTTATATGCTTTACATATACGTCTTTATTTTTTCCTACTCTTTGCATGTACCTCTGTATACCAGAAAGCATGGAAATATACACCCATCAGAATGAGTTGTCATGCAAGAGCACTATGTCCAGCTTAACAGAAAAGATGCCCTTGGCTACAGCCACAAATTCAATCCCTGTCAATCCTGGACAGTCATCAATCCCAGAGCCAACTTCAATGACCTACACCCCTTAAAA